CAATAATCGTTGGAGGAGATTTCAACGCTGCATGCACCGTGTGGGGCTGCTTAAGGAATTGTACTAGAGGAAGGATCCTCATCGATTGGGCCAGAGCGAATACCTTATATGTCATAAACCGAGGTAATAAACCTACCAGTGTCCGTTCGCGAGGCACTTCAATTGTGGACGTGACCTTCACAAACAGAAGTGCTGCTTCTTGTATTCCTAAATGGTGTGTCGAGGAGTTCGAATCTCTCTGACCACCTATACATTAGCTTCTCCTATGATATGCCAACCTCCAAAAAGTCCAAAGACATAATATTCCCCAGATGGAATATAAAATCGCACAACGAAGATCTCTGTGTTGCCGCTTCGATAGCTGATGCCTGGCGCAGAAGCAGAACCCAATCAACTCCATTCTATAAGAAAATTAGGGATATCAATAAATCGTTAGTTAATATATGTAATATTTCCATGCGCAGCTCGACCTCCATATCTAGATTGCCTCCACAGGCATGGTGGTCCACCGAAATCAAAGCTCTGAGAGTCCAATGTCAGAAGTCTAGAAGAATCTGGCAACGATTAAAAAAGAAACTTTACAGGAACAGGGTCACTCCTGAAGTCGTTATCTCCTCCGAAAAGGACTACAGAAATATTAAGAAAAAATTAAAGCTAGCAATCAATAACGCTAAAAATAAACAATGGCAAATAATCCTCAACGGAATCGATGATGACCCATGGGGCCGTCCATACAAGTGGGCCACGAAAAAGGATAAATTCTCTGGCACTCCTTTAACTGAACATATTAACTCTGACCTATTACAACGAATTTTAGATAACCTTTTCCCTTTCCCTCCAATCCAAAAACTTAAAATTGGTACTTTTGGTTGGAGTGATGAATGGAGCGTAACGGACAGGGAAGTTGAATCCGCTGTCAAAAATATGATGAAAAAAAACTCAGCTCCTGGCTTGTCTGGCGTAACAGCTATCATTGTTGCCCAATTCATTGATAAAAATCTTGAATATATCCATTCTTTATTTAATGAATGTTTACAAAAGTACATATTCCCTATTCAATGGAAAAAAGCCAAACTAATGCTGCTAAGCAAGCCTGGAAAACCGTTAGATGACCCAGCTGCTTACAGACCTCTCTGTTTACTTTATTTATTTCATTTACACGTTATTTATCGATATGTTATTTATTTGATATGGTATTTATATCCTATATGTCTATTTATTATTTTTTATTTACTTATTTATTGACTTCCTTATTTATTTATTTATTTTCATGCAATTTTATCTTTTTGACGCTCCCCCCGCCAGAGATGGCTCCCTGGCGGAGGTATTAGACTCACGCATGTTTTTTGGCACTTGGCCAACTTTACACTTTCATTTTTCTATTATCCGCGTGCCAATCCGGCAGGGCGCGTGGGGCCCGGG